TAGCTTGTTCTTTGGTAGTTTGCTGGGGAGGACTTAGTGCTTTGGTTGTGATAGTATGCAGAGTTGAGTATCCTTTTCTGAGCCTCAGTTCACAGGTCTAGATGACCCACTTGTGTTCTGTCGCAACTGTTATTGAAGTTACTATGTATGTGTAGCATGATTTTAACCCTTCACCAATTTAGGAGTTATATTAAGACAATCCAAGGAGCTAGGTGTAGCCAGAATCTCAGAATCAATAGTAGAAGGCCTATTATTTTCAACAGTATTTCCCAAGTGAAGAATGTATTATCAACTCAATTTATAGGCACAAAAAATCAGTGAGATGATGGGTTGTCTGTGCAGGGTTTACCGAGATGACTACGAGCAGAGACAGAAAAATACTGAGGTTACTTTGCTCCAGAAAATGGGCCCATGCTCTAAGAGTTGCCAGCCCTTCTCTTTTTGAAACCTTTTATAGTCAACCCTAAGTCTGAAGTCTTAGTTAAGATGCAGGCTGAAAATATATTAAACTAAATTTGTTTTCACCTTTCTGCAATTAAAGATTTGTTTGGGATTTTATTTTCTTACACTGCTTGTGGAATATCTTAAATTGTGCCAGCCAGGAAAACTAAAACTTTTAATATGCAAATGTTTATTGAAAATTGCCTTACGTTGTATCATCAGGTAGATGCGCATTTAAATGTGGTTACTTATGGAAGTAATGTTTGTGCAATGATGTATACAATGTGTTATTAATCCACATGTTAAAAAGTCAAACTGAGCTTACTTTTTTGTTTTCTTTCCTTCTTTCTTTGAAGATACTTGTTTGCTTCTATTTTTAGTTCCACATCTGACAGTTTACCATATGAGTATAATGGTAACGTGTTTTCTTACTACTGGTGCTTTCTTTTTCCCTAATTTATGGTTTGGTCTTGGACACTCCATTTGTATCAAAGGCTTTGCAAAAAGCTATCCTGCTGGGCAAATATCTGCCCTATTAATTTATCTGTTTGTTTGGGGATTTTTTCTTTTTAATTTTGCTATTATATACTACTTTGTTGCATGCCAGTAGCGTCATGATAAAACAATCAGTGTTAACCTGCTGAAAGAGTTAGCATCAGGAGGTTAAAATGTGGTCAAAGGTCGATTTACTAGACAGAAGTCTCATCAGGTTTTCAAGGTTTGGCTGTAGTCAGTCACACAGTTAGTTGTTACTTTGAGTCTGCTGTAAACTATGTTTTAAAGGTTGCTGTTCAACAGTTGTTTGAATTGACAAGCATCCCTTTTGCTTCATATCAGACCCAGAAGTACATCACATTTACTGGGGAAATGCCTGGAAGGAGTGCTTGAGCTAAACAATTTCAGAAAAACAACTAGGATTTTTTAACTTAATGTTGTTTTGAAATTTACTTGCCTATTATATTTCAGTTGTGACTATGCTTTTCCTGAAGGATTTTCTTTGGGTTAAGCGTAACTTTATGAGGGTGTACAAAAGCTTTATTTTTTCAGCATGAAGCATTTTTGAGTGTAATTCTCTGTCATGTTATCAAGTCAGTTCATAATCTTATTTTATATATATATACTGAACTCAGATTTTATCATACTGGATTATGTGATGGTATATTTCTTTATTTGAAACCTTGGTTAAATTCTTCTCACATTTTCCAGGGGAAATGGGTGTTTATCAAATCTTCTCTTTTCTCTGACTGGATTTACTTCTGTTTTTTAATGTTACAGCAATTATTTGTAGCTTCATAGTGTGTCGAATCAAGTAAGAAATATATTTTTCATTGTCTACTTTTAGGTAAGTGTGTGAAGCACACATTGCCATTATGAAATGGAAATGATATATGGTTTTCAATATATAGTGAAGCTTTACAGTGTAATTGAACTTGTTTGTTTCTAAAAGAAAACAAGTACCTTGCTTCTAAAGCAGTACCATTAGAAAAGCTGAATTTTTAAAGCAATCATTTCTAGTAAAATAAGTTCAGCACATTTTGTTAGAATATTTTCAATTTGGCAGAAACTGGTCAGACCTTTCAACTAAAAATAAAGTGATTTTGGGGATAATTTTTGGTTTTCTAAAAGGAATCTTTATAAAAAAATATTTAAGAGTACTGATTTATGAAAACAGTAGTTAAAACATAAAAACTTTATTAAAACCAGATCAAGGTTGTAAGAATTTTGGACAAAAATACAAAATTAAAAACTACTTACTGTGGCCACACCAGTTTACATGTGAGACAGGTATGACAGGTGATGGTACAAGACTGCAGCACACAGTGCTTGGAGTGAGTTGCCAGTAGATGTGTAGGTGGGTTTACGTTTTTTTGTTTTGTTTTGTTTTGTTTTTTCTTGTAAGCATCTACCTCTTAATAGTTAATGAAGTTTCCCTGAGTACCACTCAGCACAGTGGATGAATAGAGATGAGGATAAAGAGGGCTTCAAAATAGCTTTACTCTTCTCCCCAGCATGTGTGAAAGGGACATCTGGGGGGAGGTGGGAAGGAAGAGGTGTGCAATGTGAGGAGTGACAGCAAGCAATATAACATGTCTCCTATCATGACACCTTTAATGCATGGCTGCTCTTGGAGTTACAACCCACCTTGGAGCACGGAGAGCTTGGCTGTTGCACAGTACCAATGTCCTTTGTAAACCAGGGTGCCAAACCTGGGGGGGGTGTGTGCTGGAAGCTGACCATGGTTCTGTGCCAGCAGCCTGTGAGGTGCAGGCTATGGTGGGGGAAAGGGCAAGATGGGGTCCAGCAGTGCAAATACCTGATAGGTCTGAGGTCCCTCAGAAACTTCAGTTGAGGCTGGTTTAACCAGGTCATCTGATTGACACACCAACAATTCTCAGTGCACTGTTTAAAGGTAGCACAATCCATCACTGACTTTCGTTTAGGAGAGTATGTGGTAAAGCCAAGTCCAGTGCTTTGGGAGCTGGCTGATGGGTGGCTCACACATCCATTCAGCAGGGTGGTGTGGACAGCTGGAGACAAGAGGTTCATCAGCTCTTCTGGTCCAGGAGCTAAAGTGGCCACGTTCTCTCCAGGGACAGATCTGCAGCCACAGCCTTCCCACAAGATCAGTAGCTGCTCTAGTCTGAGTATAAATAAGAAAATGATGCCGTCATTATCCAAGGAATTTCATTTATACCTGGAGCATTTGGTAGAGTTTTATTTCCCTATTGTATCACAAAAGTGGCTTACAGGAGCAGCAACTCAGAGACTTGGCCAAGAACACAATAAAATGATTATAGGTTTATATAGCATTTAGAATACCATTACTTTCTTGTAATTCCAGGTGTGCTGGTCTGTGTGTCTGGAAACAGAAGCAGAAAGAAAACAGAAAAGAAGATGCTGGTAGTGGGTGTTTTCCCGGGCAAGGCAGTATGGGAAGTACAGAAGTGGGGGGAATGGGGGTGCTTTCCTTTTCCTTGGCTGGACAGGACAAGTGGCAAGTGAGTATTGAATGGTGAGATGAGACAGGATGAGAAAGGAAAAACAAAAGAAAGGTTGTGGCAAAAAGTAATATGCTCCAGGATACAGTGTCATGAAACAACTGCAATTTTCAAAACATGGTACAGAAAAAGTAACCTGGATCTTGTTAATACCACTGTGAGCAATTTATACAAAAGCAGGTTTCTTTAGTTGCCTTACACCATCAGATACAAAGAAAGCCTTCTGAAAGGGCTGAGGGCAGAGTTGGGCTTGCTAGCTTGGGGCTCTGCCTGTTAATTGCTGAACTACATCAGATGATAAAAACCTGAGACTTCATATCTCGCAGCATGACAGCGTCATGAATACCTAAATTTAACACCTGATTCCTGTGCTACCTGGAATTCTGTGCTCAAAGAGAGGACAAATATAGCTGTTACGAAACCACACAATCTGCTTTGGTGCTTTTTGGCAGTTCAGAAAGGGAAGAGCTTTTGGACACAGCCCTCCAACAGCCACTCTGTACAGAGAAAAGAAAGCTCACTTTCTTTGAGAAGTCCTCAGAAATTCTGAGCTTGATGGGTCCTGGCACTGCTGCACCAAAAAGCCCCTAGATCCGGTGCCTGGATGCTGCCAAATTCTGTCCACAAAACCTAGAAATTATGTCATGCTAGTAGAAATAACAGTGTCTTTCTATGATTCAGCTTCAGGACAAAAAAAAAAAAAAAAAAAAAAAAGGAAAAGCAAAACCAACCACCATCCACCCTGGGATACCACCGGCTCCTGACAGAGCGGTGCGAAGTCCCCGCCGTTGTGGGGGGAGCCCCTCACCTCACCTCGGGGCGCCCGCGGCGTGTGGCGGGACTGCTCTGCCATCCGAAAAGGCGCGTGCCTGTGGTGGTGCTGGTTTGGGTTTGGTTTTTTGCTTCTCGGAGTCAGGGAGGATAAACTTTTAAATCATTTTAAAAAATCACGTGAGGGGAAGGGGCTGCCTGGCCTCCCCACGGGGGTGTAGGGGACACGGTGTGCCCGCAGCAGGATCACGGCGTTGGCATTTCCGACCCCCACCACGCCCGGCAGAGGTGCCCAGGGGAGAGCGGCGACTCGACCCCCGCGCCGTCGTCGGGGCCGTGGCGAGGGACAGCGAAGCCCGGTCCGGTCCGGGGCGGGCGGGCGGCGCGGCGATCCGGCGGGGGGCGCGGGGAGCCAATGGGCGGCGGGGATCCGCCGGCGCGGCTCGGGGGCCCCTGGAGGAGGAGAAGAGGAAAAACCACGGGATTGAGCTCTGTCAGTGGCGCTCGCCGCTTCCAAGGGGGGAAGTGCCGGGGAATAATTAATGTTTTTATTAAATTTGGAGGGAATTTTTTGCAGCCGATCGCCGCGCGTGGCCTTCAGGTGGGTCTTCCCCGCAACTTTGTCCGCCGCCCCGCAAGGATTGGCGTGGAGGTGGGCTGCGAAAGCCATCCGGGGGGGGGTGGGGTGGGTGGAGGGGGAAGGTGGTTCGGTGCGTGTGGTGGGGGGAGGGGGGGCGCGGGGTGTGTGTGTGCGTGGCTGCGGCTGGCGGGCGCTGCCGCCGTCGCCTGCGCGGCGGCCGTGAGGTGCGCGGCGAGCCCCGCCGTTCGCCATTACGAGTTGAGCCCACGTTTGCGAGAGTCGGGGCTGCCGCTGGCGCGGATCGCCCGCGGGGTACGGCGGGGAGTGTAAATAAAACCCTGCTTCTCTCTCTCCGGGCTCTCTGCCGCTGCCCCGAAGTGCTTTTCCTGGCAGAAGAGTGTAACCCAGGTGAAGGCAGAGAAGGGAGGGTTGTTTTTATGAATGGGACTCTTTGAGGTTAATTAGCTATGCAAATTCAAGCAGTTCATTCATGATTTTTTTTTTTTTCTTTAATCTAAAAGCCATCTTGTATTCCCCTCTAGGCTGATCGGAGTCCAGATCCCGAGGAAATCTCCAGATCAAATGCCCAGTAAATAAAACACTGAGCTAAGACTTGTGGAAGAGCTGCAGAATGGATGGATTTTATGACCAGCAAGTGCCTTACATGGTCACCAATGTGAGTGATCAGTTCAAAGTTGGTGTTTATAAACTTGACTCCGACTTCTTTCTGTGGGGGAGTTTTGTAGAGTATCTGCTTTGTTACCGCTGTAGGGGCGACTCTTCGTTTGGGAGCTTTGCTTGCGAGATGAGCCTATCTTCTTAGTTATTTCAGTAAAGCATCATGTTCTTTTAAAGACAGTTGTGGGATGATTAAAAAATCATGCACATGATTAGCGGATGAGAGAAGCGAGAGCAGCAGCAGCTGCATTCAAAGTTTCTGGCTGCGGTTGCCTACAACGCTCAGAAGAATGAAGTTGAGGCAAACGTTAACATTCCCCCCCCCCCCTTTTTTTTTTTTGTTTCTTTCAGGACCTTGCAAACAGTGTTATAAGTAACACAGGGGAACAAAGCAGTCTATTATAATCTCCTATATGGGTTCTCCTGTGTAGCTTATGCAGGGGGGATTTATATGCTATTGTGTAGGTTTGTATACTTTAGATGCTAAAAATACATGGTTGGTATTGCGTTGCTACTTGAAAACATTATGTATGTGTATGTACAAATAGATGTCTACACAGATAGAAATGTGTTGCATTTAGCCACAGGAATCTTTTGGAGGATGGTAGGTGCTCAGCAATGTCTTTTGCTGAAAACTGAAGGCTGCAAGACGACCGTTTCCCTATTCGAAAATGTAAAGAATTCATGCTGGCTTTGAGTATTCTTGATTAAATGAGGAAAAAAAAATAGACCAAGAAACCCTCAGATTTCTGAAGTAACTGATCTTTCCTGTTTATAGAATCCGCGTGGGAGAAACTGTAATGAGAGACCGGCAAATGTCAGGAAAAGAAAATTCATTAACAGAGACCTGGCTCATGATTCAGAAGGTGAGGGTTTGACATGTTCACCCCCCCCCCCCCTTTTCTCCCCTTCCTAATGCAGAGAAGCTTTTTGAGAGCACTTTTTTCATTTATTTTGGCGATAAATATATAGAGATCCGTCTGAATAAACAAGAGAAGAAAATCGTGTTTACTACTGCAAAACAAACTGACAAAGGCAATAAACTGATGAAGTTGATACTCTTGCCTGGACTTACCATGTTGCATTTTAGGTACACATATGTCATGTGGCATACATGTGGCACCTGGATGTCATGCACTGAGGCCAAGCCTTTGCAGCATTTGACACAAGTTACTGCACCTGGCTTTTTCACCTTCAGGCCTCTTGAGAGTCAGGGCTTTCCTCATTCCTCCTATCTTTTAACATACTTTTCACTGGTGTGTGTTTACTGGTGCTAGCAGGAGTAAGAATGCTGGTGTGGAGACTTGGTTTTCACTCTGGCTTTACTGTAGAGCTAGTAGGCAGGCTCCTTGCATCCAGTAGTCTGTTTCTATTGCAGTGTAACACTGGTAGGGTTAAAAATCCTGGGAAATTAAATTAAGGAGGTCTAGAGTTGATGAAGTTTTTTGGAGGGCAGAGATTTGTAACTTAGTCCTGTTAGTAGCCGCTCACATGATTGTAGCTTGAGAACTGTAGTCTAGCAATAGCTGTTAACACTTCTTTAGGTTACAGTATAGATGCTATGTCTACACCCCTGTAAGTACATAATACATATAGGAAAGTAAATAGGGGCTTACAGCTTAGCCCAATATAAATCTTATCGGGGTGAGGGCACATTGATTAACTTTTCCAAATCACTGTTTACTTGTTTGGAAAAGTTTATTCTAGGGTAGATTGAAAAGAACTTTCTGATTTTCAGGTAAGTGATTTGCCAACATGAATGTGAGGTATCAGTCCGCAGGATAAATGAATAGCCTCTGTCATTCAAGTGTATGTAAATAGTTGTCTGTCAGCATTCATAAAAGAGAAAGTCTCTCAAAATACAGTAACTTTAACCCATTTGTCAGTTCAAATGGCCTACTTAGTAAATGGAAATTTTGCAACTGACTTTCTGAGCTTTGCAAGTAAGTAGAATGCAGCTCTGGTTTACACCCGTTATAAGCAGTTGATTTCAGTGAATTGCAGAAAAAGATAACCTGCTGCAAAACTCAGTCCATGGAGAAAGTGGTTTCACTTTAAAGAAGTACAGTAAGTGCAGAATAGAGAAAATAGTGGTGATTCTCTTGTCATACAAAGTAAAACATAATGGGAATTACAGAAGATTTCCCATTTCTGCCTGCTATTGCAGCATCTTGGGTCTTTGCTTCAAAATTTTTATACGGTAGTTACGGCCATACTAACAGAAATACTCAGTCATTGCTCAGGCAGAACTCCCAGTTGAAGTGCAAGACAGCTTTATATGGGGCAGATATTGCAGGAGGAGGCCAGAACTGTGTAGGGAGAAATAGTTCACCTGTAAGAAAGATTATGATTTTTAACTTTTCTATATATTGCTGAATGAGCCTTTTATACTACAGAGCTTGGTTAAGATTCTGGTTGTTATTTCAGGAGCTGATAAAATAATACAGTAAGTACTTTTTTATTAATAGGTGTAGAAAAAAAACACTAACTGCAACCCCAAAATATCTACTTTGTCTGTTTGTTTGATAGAGTTCGTGTACATTGCTTTTCAGGAAAAATATATTTTCAAACATATTTTAATCTTATGAAGAGATTAAAGGTGTGAGTCCATGTCCTCATTTTTTTACAGAACTCTTTCAAGATCTGAGCCAGTTACAGGAGACATGGCTTGCAGAAGGTAAGGGAAAAAACTGCTTGTAAAAATGGGAAAAACAGCTCTGGAGGGGAAAGAAAAAAAAACAAACCCTAGTCCTGAACTTGCTGTCTTAATGTTCAGCCCAATTAATTGAGCTCTAAAAGAGCCACCTCATGTGTCATGCATACATTAGAGCCTCTGATGAGTTTGTCTTTGGGGACTCTGGGGCTGCTCTACCCAGTGTCATCACAAATTACCAGGAGAAATTGCTTCCAGCTCACAATCACATCTGCTTTTGGCAAGAACTAATGCACCAAGACTTCAAGTTCTAAGCCTCTGTTCAGATTTTAATTGCAATTGATCAGGTTTATATTATTGTACCTCGAGAGACTACATACAGCCAGAACTGGGCTTGCTGTTTCCTTTAGAGCAGCACATATAATTATTTGGTGTTCTGGTGGAGTACTTTTCTGATGGCAGAAATTAGTTTCTCTGGGTTCATCAGGACGGGATGCTTCAAGATTTAAGTGCAAGTGTCTTCTTTCCACCTTGTTCACAACACAGAACATTAGGTGTGTATGAAATACTTAAAAAGTACTATTTCTTATATTTCTTTTTTATTTTTTTTCCAGAAACCTTTTAAGTATTTTGCATGTTATTGTTGTCTTCGTATCTGTAGTTGTGAGATTGTGTACTGGGTGATTAGAAAACTGTCATCGGTCTGTTTTACACCTGCTTGTGCTTTTAAGTATTTCAAGTAATCTTGCAGAGCACATTCTATTGAAGAGACAAGGTTTAAAAACAATAATGTAGAAATCTGAATTTAGAGTAGCTGTTGAGAGATTCATTTAACAGTAAGAAAAAATGAGCTGCTGCGTTAAGAGAACTTTAACAAAATGCAAGATAGCTTTCTGCTTATTGAAGTGTATTTGTTCTCTTCAGCAATATTTTCTGATTCTTTTTACTTCAATGTTTACAATACTGTTTATTTGGAACAAAGATTTTTATGCATTGTCTCTTAATATTTCTGGTTGAAATTCTTATGTAAACTTCTGCATCTGAAATAAACATGATTTTGATGCAAGTTAACATAATCTCTCCAAATTTATCCTGATGTAAATGAATGTATTCACATATGTTTGATTTTTATCATGTACTGGACTATGCACAGCTGTTTATAGAATAGATCTTCTGTTTTTCTGGAGAGGAGGGTGGAATGCTTGCTGTTGATTTTCATAGAAAGAGGGAAATACTGCTGATGACTACTGGCTTACTAGATTCTGTTTTAAATCAGCTTTATATGTAGTTAGTCAAGTTCGTAACCTATGAGTAAGTTGTGGAGTATTGTTTATTTTGCTGACATTTTTATTCTCCTAGCATTATTTTTAGCATGTGGTTATTCTGTATCTAGTATAAAAATCCTTTTTAAATTATGAAACAGAGGATATATTTTTCATGAATTAATATGATTATTTTCTAATCACTGAAAACAGGATGTCCTGTACTAAGATCATTTTTGTAGCATAATGATCAGATACAACTGTAACTGTGTCTCCCTGTGGTAATTTTCCTAAGGATATCTTTATTTTGTATCATCTTGTTCATTCTAGCAAGCCAGAAGTGTGTTAGAATGCTACTCAAAAGATACTGTGTTTTGATAGAGAGAACTTTTAATCTGATTGTTCTCTGGCATGGATGTTTTTGTTTCTGAAAATTATTAAATTTATTTGATCATAGGTCAGAAAAATACAGGCAGGTTCATAATGCATGTGCAGATATTAATGTAAGTTTGAAAAATAATAAGGAATTTAAAATTGATTTAATAATTTCTGTAGGTACATAAATTACTGTAATGGCAATTTTATTTCTGGAGGCACTGCTTATTTTAGACTAGAAGGAATTGTTTGAGAGCCTTTTTTCCTCTTTAGCTGTGTCTGTGTCACTGAATACATTTAGATAGGTTTTGAGAGAGAAAGGTGTCTGGTCCTGTGTCAGCTATGTTGAGGAACCTTTGTAAAAGCAGATAGCATCATCTGGTAAGTATTTGAAAAAAAGAAAAAAGTTGCCTTTTCATCTAGCAGAGAATAATAATGCTAATAACATTATATTTTCAACAGCATATTACAACTAAATATTACATATTTTTTCAGTGTTCTAGAAGTACTTTAAGAAATCTGTGTATTTCTGGCCATGCAATGGTTTAGCTGTTCCATAAAACACAAATTTTGCATAGCCTTTTTCTAAAGGCTAAACCAGCACTAAAAAGTCATTATGAGGAAATCAAATACTGAGCTATTAACTTGGTCTTAAATTTTTATAAAAAACCCCCACCCCAAAAACTTTTGGTAGTCTTTATAAAATACTGGTGTTTGAGGGTGTCGTAGCTCTGCTCAAAAGTCTACATGGGTGAGCTTAGCCAGGAAACAGATTCTGAAATCAAACTTGTTTACCCATTGCTAGATGTGTCCATTTATGTTCCTCTGGACCATCATAGGCTAGAAGCCTGCCAGTTTGGCAGCATTAGTAGTGTTTACATATTTCTTTTCATAATGCTGTGGAGCGAGGGAAATGACCATGAAATTTTAAAACATCTTGACCCTTTTTAAGAAAAGCAGTGGCAGCTGACCAGGTTTCTCCCACGAGTTCAGATCCCCGCTGGGGAGTAACCAGGTCAAAAAACCTACTTACTAGTTAGGAGAAGAAAGTGAGTTCCATTTTATGGCACACAAAAAGTGCTAGCTTTTGGGGGGTTATTTTCTTCCTTTTTTTTTTTTTTTTTTTTTTTTTTCTTTTGGTTGTTTTGCTCTTCCTAAAGCTGGCCTTACTGCATCACATATTTTAGCCTGGAGATTTTTAGTTAGTGTCACCTGTGAAAAGTTGACAGTAAACACATAAACAGAAAAGAAATGTATTCTTTTCCTATTGAAAATGGTGGGAGGTTCACATGTATTAAAGGATTAATCCAAAATGTAAACAGTTTAATTCAGTACCCTCTTTAATATTTTATTACTCCATAATTAGCAAGCTGAATACCACTTACAGAAAACTTACAAATGTATTCTACTAGCTGAATACCAGATTTTTATGGAAATGAGGTTTGCTTCTTACTTTGTATAGTATTAAATGTGTAGGAAAGAATCTAAATTATTTTGTTTTAAAGCTATCTCTGAATAAGGTTTTGTCATGTCAGTTGTTATGTGAGGACAGAAGGTAGATTGTAACTATTTCCTGATGCCAGAAATTGAAAGTGGGAAACCTTTAATAATTTTTTCAACCATCGAACTTGAAATAGTTAAAATTGCCTACTGCTAACCAAGGCAATACTATGCAGATATTATCTTATATTTAAATAATTTGATGGCAACGTTTTGTCATTATAATAACATAAAATAACTTTATGGATTACATATATTTTTGGCATCAGATTGGTTTTGGCAGATAGCAGTTGTTCAATGACTTGAAAAAAATTATTCAAATACTAATCTAATGTTATCATGGTTGTTATATTTATTCTGGAATAAAATGAAAAGAGAGAACAAAGTCTTAGTGAGTGTCTCCTTTCTATGTTGAAAGCATTTGATGTTGATGGAATAATTAAGAAAAATAACAGATTTTTATTTAAAATGGCTCTTTCAGACACTAGTTTCTCCAACAGCTTTTTAAAGATACATAAAAGGCATCCCAAGCAAAGAAAAATGATGAATTTATGCACTAGGTCTGCTTCTTAGAGCAATAGATAATACCCTTCTCAGGTGGTAATGAGTTGAAAAATAAAATAAAATAATCAAAAAATAAAAATAAAATGTTGTTCTTTGGAAAAATACAAAAATGTTTAGTGAGCAGTGAATGGTTTGAAATAATAGCTACAAGGTTCATGCCTCTGCTGCAACTTAGCTAAATTGAGTGGATAGGTACAAGAAGTAACTTGTATTTAAAAGTTTGTTCTTGATGCCTGAAAGCAAACTATTTCCCTCAAGTAGTTAATGCCCAAATGTAGAATGAACCTTAGGAAACAGGTTTTTTGCCCTCTGTTTCCGACTGTGAAGGATGCACCAGCATCACAGTGATGTCTAAGCCAGTGTTGATTTCTAATTTATTTCTTAAATGTGAGAGTAAGAAAATAAGTAGTTTCTTGTTCTCAAAATAATATTTTTAATTAAAGAAAGTACTAGAACTTCCAATGTTAATGTAGTTAGAGTGGCTTCATTTAATTTGGTGAAGATGTGTTGTAGCTTACTCTGTCAAACTAGTGTTAACTGCCAAAAAGTTGTAAAATTTACCCAGTGTAAGGCAAATGCTGGGTAGCCTATATTCAAGAGCTGTTTGCATTTCTATAGGAACAAAAATAGTAAAAACCTGATAATTTAATACCCCCGTAGTTGAGATCTGTCCGATGGTCACACACGCTCTAAAAAACAGTGAAAAGGTTTTAATTTGGAATTTGTAATACAAAAAATAGCTTCTTTTTTTTAATACAGTCTAGTGATCTAACAGATTTGTCTTTCAGGTACTCGTAACTCTTGATCTTAAGTATCTGTGCACAAAAAAAGGAGGAAAAGTAGACAAGGCAAAATGAGGAGGGAGCAGGATGCTCTTTAAAAGAAATCCAAAAGAAAGAAACCCACGAGAAATGTGCAAGTCTGAAAGTCTGTGTAGTAACAAACTTTTCAACATTTTTGTTTGCTGGAAAAGTAAATGCCTTTTACTCAAAATAATCATTTCAAAGGTGTAGCTCGGTTTGCGTACCATGAGGCATGTAGTGAAATGTTAAATGCCGAGTGTCCCTTTTAAGTTTACTTTTTTTTCTCATTTTTAGTATAGCAGCAAATGAAGAGCAGATTCTGCAAACCTGTCTTCATATTCCTAGAGACTATTCACATAAGGAAGAATTTTGAGATCTGGAGCCAGTTTTGAACTGTGTTTAAGTTCGTTAGTCAGGGCATCTCACATTATGTAAAAGGAGTGTGGGATTGTTTTGACAACAAATCCAGTGCTTATGGGAAACAGTATTTTTTACTGTATTGAAATTTGTCACTGTTTTGCCTTCTGAATGCTTCTCTGTTACAAACAGTTGTTCCTGGGGGAAAAAACCCCAAAACAACCAACCACCACCCACCCCCCCACCCCCCCAAGGTCTTTCAGAAATACTTACACTTTATACAATCTTTCAGATACTAAGAAGTGACAATAAATCAAAGAAAACTCAATAGACTCATTATTGTTGAGGCCTGAAATCTTATTTAAGCTGGAGTCAAAATACTACCATTTGTGTATAATTTCCTCTCAATTTCAGTTGCTTTTGATGCTTTGAATAAATGATGGATATTTTGAAATTAATTGTGCTTAGCTCTAAAAGTGAAGCACATGGTCAGAGAACACAGTACCTCAGGAAGTGTTCTGCTACCAAAAATAAAGTTTTAAGTGAAGCGACGAGGTTTGCAGCTTCTTGTTTTTCTGGAAAGTTTCTGTTTTTTAACAGGAACATCTTTCCCTGGAGTACAGCTGAGCGTTTGGAAGCAGTTTGTGACTGGGAGAAGGAAGAGTTAAAATTAAGCTCTTTATAGTTTGCTTAACTTTTCATTTATTAAGTAAGGCTCCTCAGCAGGTCTGTGCTGCATCTTGAGACAAAGCAGTGAAATCAGTGTGTTTATGCCTAAAGTTCAAGTTTACTTTGCTGTAGCTTTCTGGAAGGGTGTGACATGAAAAGCTTGTGGTTGAGGCCACATGGTTCATGCTGGACTGTGTTTTTGTGAATGGAGGCAGAACTCCAGTTCTGACTGCTTGTCTTGAGGAATTGCTTCGGAGATCAGCTGTCTCATTCACTGGCAGAAAGAATGACTCATACATCTTCTGCCTTGTTTGGCTCCAGGTCATTGTTACAGTGGATAGAGCTGGTTTTAATTAAATATTAACTCCTTTTGTCCTGGATGCTTGTTAATGGGGACTACTTATTTGTGTTTACTTGCAATGAAAGCAAGCTGACAGGCCTTAGTTCTAAACTACCCCTCACCCCCAATTGCTTTCTTTTTGCAAAATAAGCTGTCAGCTTTTCAAAGGCTTTTTAAAGCTCTAAAAACTACAAACAAGTATGAAGTATCTTTGTGCTGTGAATGTTTGCTTTTGACAAACTGGTTTTTAACTCAGTAGGTAGTGAAACTATAAAATCTAAACTGATAACATCCTCAAGATCATTAACGTTTCTGTACACTTCCCAAATCCTCTTGAGACATTATAGCTATAATCAGAAGAAAAAGAAAACTTTTGGTAATAATCTAGGCTGAGCTGGATAGTTTATGCTGCAGATGTTGTCTGCTTCAGGAGTCTGAGACTTGATGGCTCTGAATGAGGAATGAACTAATGTAGCTTCTTCTGCTATTAGCAGTAAAAGCCACGTGCTTAATATCCTTCAAAACCTTTTATTAGTCTTTTGGAATATACTTGCCTTCTCAAACCCCCATAATTAAGTAGCTCAGGGAAATATTCTCATTCAGTTAGATGATCATTTCAGATATCTTTTTGAATTTTCCTCTGAATGGCAAAAAAAAAAAAAGAAGTTTTGGTGATTTATGCTTTGTGTCCTGCATTTAGTATGTTAACAGAAGACCAATGAAGATTTTATGGCAGCCTTGCTGAATTGCAGAATTTGTGACTAGAAGAAAAGAGGAAATGAATGGCATACGTATATAAATGTGCAGACAGTCGCAACACTGCGAGTTACATTTTCCTTTTGGACATTCAGGTTGAAGTGTCTTTACCTGTCTGTTTAATTTGATGCAAAGTCTGTCTGTACTTATTCAAAGTCAAGGTACAAAAGCACTCTCCCCTTTCAGTAATGGGATGATGTATCCCAACGATTTGCCCTCTCACAGAAAGATGATAGTGGAAGAAGTCTTGTGTATTGGGCTGATGATGGATGCTTGCATTTCTGCTGTATGATCATGTGCAAGCTTCAGTTCTGCTAGTTTAAAAATAAAATCAGATTAAACAAGGGAATAATTTAAGTTCTCCTTTCCAGCAGTTAGCAGGTCCTTGTAATTTCTTCATATAGGATTGTGGGCTTGTTTCTAAGGTACGGATGGTGCTATAATTGGAGTCCAGTAGGAAATGCATGTTTCTGGGTTGAACATTTTGGATGTTATTTGTTTTGTTTATATTTGGCAGGGTCTTAAACACTTCTTAATTTGCTGTATTCCTTTTCCTACAGAGGCTTTTAAGGCTATGTTAATATTGTATTCAAAATACATTTGGACAGTGCAGTCCACACCTATTTCTAGAGTACTTATAAAATGACGGGCTTTGATTTCTATTATGTCTTCATAAGTTTTGGGGATCAATGAATGAAATATATTTTTCTTGTTTACTCCAGACCAAATCAGGAGTAGTGACAGTATCTCTAAAGTAATATGCTGTTTTCCTGTGACAGTTTAACCAGATGTATTTTATTTTTTCTTACTCTGTAGTTGGGAAAATAAAGAACCTTATTTACTGATATAGACATAAAACTCCGTGTGAGATTTGTTCTGGAGTAAGTCAAGTTAAACTGATAAAACCTGAATAAAGCACCGGTGAAGCAGCTTGGTGCACAGCGTACACTCTAGAAAGTTATATAAGATTGTTGCCCCAGTTCTGCAGTCACTAAATGTAGCCTTCTGATTTCAAGAGGAGAGTTTTGGTTTTCTTTTAGTCTTTTTCAGATATCCCAGATTCACTTTTTTTTTAATGTATATTTATATATATATATATATAAATAAAAATGCATGTGTGTGCATAAAAAAAATGCAGTCATACCAGGCTCCTTGCTCTATTTAAAAATAATACCTAGTTTAAGAAAAAATTGTGGGAGGTCTTCTGTGAACGAGAAAATACTTGATACAATTAATGAGAATTACTTTAACTCTGAATGTACTCACAGACCCTTCAAAAACATTTGGAAATGCAAGAAATCCTTAGGAACTGATTTTTAAGTGGGTTAACTTGATTTCATAATCGAATTCTTCAGTGACAGTCAAATATTTGGCATTTTTATAAGGAAAACGCAGTGAATTGCATGAAATGTCAAAAATTGCAGAGTGTTAGTATTTGGGCTTATATTGTTCCCGAGTTGATTATTGTTGCAAGTCCTGTGGTTTCTCTCTAGGAAAGAGAAATTAAATGCAAAAATATTGGGAATATTTGAGTTGGTAAAATATATGTTTTATACAGGCTCAAACTCTGAGGAGCTGACATGTCTTCAGAGGTACTGGTTTCTTCTAAAAGGATAGGTTCTGTATTTTGTGTTTTTTTTTTTTTTTAATTTAAAAAACCCAAACATAAAAGCAACAGTAGCTATGCTTTTTTTTTTTTTACAGAATAATGCTAATTGCACTTCATTTATTTATCTTGCTCACACTTCTTTTCAAATCTGTGTTTGCAGATTTGCCAAGGTCATTTGTTCTTAAGGGGAATTTGTTGCAATTAAGACAGTAGGGCTTTAAGCATTTATTTTAAAACCAAAAGCAAATAATTTTTTTATATAATGAGCCTGATTCTGAACTCTTTATCCAGGAAAAAACCCTCCCAGATATGTTCTTAGAAATATATCTTGAGTAAGGAGTGGATATCTGGTCCATGAAGAGTACATAGTGCATGTTAAAAATTATTGTGAGTAATTATGATTAAATGTGTATTTTTAATTCAAATAAATTCTGTTAAAACTAGCAGCAGTTGCACATGTCGAAAGGGGAATATATGCTTCTTAAACTAAAAAGTGTTCTGAAAGGCAATGAAGTTTTATTTTATCATTTAATGAATTTAATGTTCTGATAGCAACAGTTCTGATAAATGATTATATAACCAGTATTTACCTCTCAGATCTTGTTGGGTAACCATATCATCGCAGATGTTAACTTTTAATTAAGATCATATGACTTATGTGTCTTTCTCTGTAGGCAACATCTGTGTAAATGAGAATACCTTTAAACAGTTAATTTTATACACCTTTGCTGTGGTGTCTCCAGTTAGTGTATGTTGAGAAAAAGATGGCAAAGTTCAGAGGCTACAAACTGGATCTCTCCTCAGGATGTATACAGAACCAGTCATGCTCTGAAGATGCCGCTTTTCTCATTGAAATGTTCTGCAGTTATCTGGATGTTACCTGTAATACATACCTGTTCAATGGTATTTCAGCTTAAATGGTTTAAATGAGTTTGCAACACAGCATGAGAGATGGCTGATGTAGATACAGAATGAAAGTGAACTGTGGTACCACAGATGCAAAACTATGTATCGGCAGACCATGAAACAATTGTATTTTATAGCTCAGGTTTGTGATGAAAGTTTCCCAAAAGTGAAGATGATCTTACTCAAGGTGAATGGATTTTAATAATGATTCTTCAAGTAAATCTTTTTTTTTTTTTTTTTTTTTTTAAGTCTTGAAAGATGTCATTCAACCAGGAGTTCTGTGGTCTGGTAAAATAGTTCTTTTTGAGTATTTAAGACAATAACAAAACTACCTCGACTGTGTTGGCTGACTGCCATGAAAAATTGGAATTGCTTTTTAAGTCAGCCAAGGGTGTGGTATTTGGGGATTAAAGATGCCCAAGTGTTAAAGCACTAGGATTTGGTTTTATGCAGACCTTCCGTGCAGGTATTTTGAAAATGAGCATGAATGGGTTTTACCAGTGGCATGGTAGGTGCAGACCCGTGTGCAGGGAGTAAGGCAGGGCCAGTGCCAGTGTCGGCCTTCACATCCTCCCATCCCCATTGCTCTGTGCCAAGGCTGCTCTGGACTCACACTGTACCACACAGCTTCACTCCAGGGTTTATCTAATATTAAAATGATGTGCTTGCCTGATTTTCATATGGAACAATGAGAAAAAAATAAAAATCCTAGTCTTAATCTTGGCTGTGCTTCAAATGAAGCAACAGAGTCTTTATTTATGCTTTAATGGCTTCTTTTAATTCTGTCCTTTTTTTGTTTTGTTTGTTTGTTTTTTTGTTTTGTTTTTGTTTTCCTTTCTTCAGCTCAGGTACCTGACAATGACGAGCAGTTTGTGCCAGACTATCAGGCTGAAAGTTGTAAGTATAGTATGAATCATCACTTACTTAAAAATCTGTATTTGTATATTTATATATATGGGTCTTTGTTATTTATTGTGCCATCACATTCATGTGACAGGTCCTTTCGCTGGTCAGTGGCATCAGTGGGATGAATAGATAAAGCAGATAGTGGTTTGATATGTGGCCGGGGGAAGTTGTTTGGGCTGGAGGTATAACATTTAGCAGGGTGTTCTGTCCTGTAATTCCCACCCTGCAGCTCCAGGGAAGCAAGGGAAAATATTGTGGAGGAGGAGGGAGTTAATCTGTCTATAGGGTGAGGAGAGGAGCATTTTGAGCCCGAACGGATGAGATACTGTGGGACGCAGGAGGCAGCTCTGTTTAGCAGAAATCAGGCTGTTCAGTGTGGTTTGTGTATAAATAAATAAATAACATTCTCCACGTAAATCAATCAGCAGCCATTGCTGAAGCATTTTTAAGTTGTCTTAGCATGTGGCATTTTGTTACTCAAACAAAATCACCCTTCAAATTGTATGGGAGAAAGCACGATTTATTTTAAGCTGGATGCTTTGCACTGTTTGCTACTTTACTTAACATGTTACCAAACTTTTCTTTTTTTTTTTTTTTTTTTTAGCCTGTACCCTTCAAACCTTGCTTTTACCTGCTACTATTGTGTTAAATGCTGGATCTCTTTCGCTGTACCTGCTGTCTGGTTTTGGCTGGTTGCAAGGGTGTAGTAAGGAAGTGGCAAGAGAAACATTATCTGACAAAGTCAGAGACTTCTTCAAGTTCTTTATGCGTCTTTCTTCATGGCAAGGCTTTTCTCCATCATCAAGAGATCACTCCTGAACAGCGTCTGCTGATTGCAGCAGAGCGCGTGGTAGCTTTTCCGTTTTGCTAAATAACTTAAATAATTTATCCTACCAGAGTGAATTACTGCAGTTCACTAAACCAGACGGCTGTTAAATACAGCACTCATGTACTGGAATTTTTAGGATTAAAATTAGAGAGATCAGAAATAATTGCATTAAAATAGTCCTTAACCCCAAAACCAAATTCAGATTTTTTGAGTTCTCTCATAAATCTTTTAGAGGAGGGGATTTTTTTCCAGTTATTTAGAAGCTGTTTTAAGAAGAATTTGTTGAGAGTATTTATATCAACATTTTATAGGGGGGAAAAGAAAATAAAGTTTGTTTGTTTGATTTTTTTCTTCCTGGACTCTGTTAGTGTACCTGCACAGCAAGAATTTAGTTTTGCTTTTCTTCTCTGGAAGTTCCTGTACATATACTAACCAACAACTGTGGTCACTTTCAAACTGTTAAATTTGCCCTTTATAACAGTTGTTTTGTTTTTTTTTTCCCTACCTCTGGCTTCAAAGACTTTGTATTTTTTATTATATTACAGTATGAAAGGCAAAGAATCTATAAGTTGGAAATCAGATACGTTATACTACATACGGAGCCGTGTCCAGATATAGTCATGTATGCATACATCCTTTGTGTACGAGTACAAAGTTCAGCTAGGGCTCCTATTAACCCACAATTATTGTTACACAACAAGTCAATGTTTCTTGGAAAATAATTTGTGAACTGTGAATGAAAAGCCCTGTTGAAGCTGGTCACTGCTTTTGGTGACAAAGAAATTCTCCTAATATGGCTATTTTATAAATGCCGTTGTATTTCAGAGTTTCTTAGCTTACACAATATTATCAAAGGAACATTTATTTCTTCATTTCAGTTGGTTTCTTTATCTTAAGTAAAGGTCAGGATAGCTTCCTGGAGAGTTACTCTGGCAAAGGTTATGGAGTTTCAGACATACTTGGGTATAATGTATGTAGCTGTGGGCTCTGTGAAACAGGAACGGAGATCAACAGAACCAAAGCCATGGGGAAATTACTGCTGCAAAAGAAGCACAATTGTGACTGTTTTCTCTAGGATCCAAACCTGCCTTCAAACTCTATTATAATGACTTACTATATATAATCTATAAATCTGTACAGTGCTCACCCTGTTACTGGCAGGAGCACTTGGCTTTTGTTTTTTTAAATTGTTATTATTTTTTTAAACATGGGAGAGGATGGGCAAACTTTTATAGATTCGGTGTTTAATACATTCTTGAGCCAAAAATGGTGAAGCACAGAAGTGTAAACCAATGAAAGGGGTCACAGTTGTTCAGCTGTACACAGTCAGAGACAACTGAACTGTTATTTGTGGCAGAAATTTCGTTTATGAAGCTGTATACAGGTGTGTGGTGCATGTGGGTGTGATGTGCAGAGCATGTAAAGAACACTGAAGTGCTCCACTGAAACAGTCACAGTCTGCAGTAAAGGTAAAGAAATTAGGTGCAGTTTTATTTCTAGCTTCATTGCTTGAGAAATGGGCTTTAAACCTGAGGTAGATTTGTGGTCTTAAACTGAAATATTGGTAACAGAATGCTGCAGTTAAAACTTCCTTGCCTTGAAATTGCCAAGTTAGTCAGCTCCTGAAGCAAAGGTGTGGAAAGTAGTAGGAGAACTGATACTGCCAAGATCATACGCTGTGTCCTAGCGCTAGCAGCATTAAATGCCCCTTAAAGTGCCATGGGTTTTGCATTTCTTTTCTGTAGTAACGATTTTAACTAGTGAAACTGCACTGGTGTTGGTAACTAAGGGAAACATTTAGTTTAGATTAGATATACAATCCATTTTATCCACTTAGGGATTTAACTTCAAAGCTAGCTTGAGACCATGAATTTCAGTTATGAGTTGCTATTAATCTTCAATCAGTTTTCAAAAAGCAAATACAATATATATGTATTTATAGTTAGGTGTGGGCTTTAGAAATTATGAGTGAGATCAGCAGCTAGGATAACTTCGTGTGGTATTATTGACATTACTGGAATTATGCATATTTCTGCTAGTGAAGGTTCCAGCATGTCAAGCTTCCCCTTAATGCTTCTAACTTCAGTTTACCTGTTTAAAGTTGAAATTATTATATTTTTTTTTCGACTCTGCTATGTCTTCTGGAAAGAGGCCCTTCCTGCTGTAATGTTAGAAATGTCTGCACTTCTGAACCTTTCTTTTTTGTCACAGCATCCAAAGCTCTATCTTGTCCATCTTGTATTACCTTTTTTTTAAATATCTTTTTGATTATTAATACCTGTCACAAAGAACCTTTTTGTAGTTTAGGTCAGAGTGAGCAGAACGAAGAGCAGATAACAACTGGCCTGTTCAGGTGAAATTTGAAAAGCAAATCACAGTTTAGTTTCTCATGACTCTGCTTTCTGCAACTTAACTTTCCTAATGACTCTTACCAAATATGTGAAAAGCTGTGTAAAGCAAAAATGCAAAATCTGTTTTTCCAAAAATGCGAAGGCTTTTTTTTTTTTTGTTTGTGGCTTTTTTTTTTTTTTAATCAGCATTCTGTATGTGACACTTCTTCCAAATTCTTATCTAATTCAGAAAACTTAGTTTTTCTGTCTTTATAAAGTCAGTATTCACATGTGGAGAAGGGTGAACTGTGTTAACTTCCTCAGATAAGTTTTCCTATTGTTTCAAGTCTGTTTGCATATACTGAGGAGGAGCCAGATGCTGAACTGGTTGTAACCAGAGGTGAAGCTTTCAGATACTATAGAACAGCAAGGACTTTCCAATCTAGGAGTAAAGATGAATCAAGTGTTCAGTTTGCTCGAAGTCCATAGCTGTTGAGATGAAGATTGCTTGCTCCTATTGTTTGGATGGTTTCTATGACAGACACAAGAGGAAGTAGGTAGGATTTGCTGATGTTTAAAGGATGTAGTTGGCAGAGAAAACCTGGTACTGTCAACAATACACTGATTTGTAATTCGACCTTGGTACAGTTGGTTAAAAACGGGGATTACCCTGCACCAAACCAGATTGCCTGGTGTCTTAATAGCATGATCGTGTTTTATTTTGGTTTGGTAATACATATTTACATTGGTCTGTTCTTCCAGTTTGGTGGGTTTCTTTTTCCCACTCTTTCTTCTTTTGTCCTAAAATGCAGGTTACCCGTTTAAAATTCATTATAAACTCTAGCTTTTAACTTTTGCTTTTTATTTCTTATTGAATTTCTGTTAATGAGGATTTGTGCTGTGCTTCACTTTCTTGAGCAGTTTCCTTCTTTATCTTTCATTTTGTTCCTGTATCATTTCCCTGACCATCATAGCCTTAACTTTAACACTTGCCATGGGGTAAATGTTAATGTTAGACCATAGCTGTTGACAGTAAGTGGGAAGGACTGGCTGTAAAATCCATGCTCCTCCAAGTCTGATTAAACTTCAAGGTAGGAAAAATACTTTTTTAGTAGTGATTTTGTCACTGATCTCTTACAACCTTTATTCTTTCTCTTACCTCTGTTTTTTTTCCCTCTAAGTCTAGCAAAGGAGTTGTTTCAATGTAGATGCCAGGAGCCTTAAATTATTCAGTGATGTGCTTTTTAAATGCTCTGGCTTGCAGTCTTTAAAAGCCTGCTAAAGAGAGATTCTTTACATAGGCTTTAGGTAGCTGTATTCTTCTGTCATTTTAACTAATGGCTTAGGATATTCCAAATGCAGTTTAATGAGAAGCTTTAGTATTTATTTACATGTTTGCAGCGTATAAAATATCTTTTTTTTTTTTTTAATTGCACTATGAGGTGAAAAAGGCTTTGTTTGTTTTATTTTCTTTTTCTTTGTGACTTAAATTTGAAAAGCAAATTTCAGAACTGGAAGAGGATTTTCTGTTTGCTTTAGTACAGCAAGAGCTGGTGAGCAATTGGTAGAGGTTAGTTTTCCTTATTTTGACATATTTTGGTGGAAAAAACCCACACAACTAAAACAAGGTACAAAACACCAGAATAATGTAAGTTCTGATGGGCCTACTGAAGTTAAAAGGGTTTGTTTTTATTGATGATGAAGAAAAGCTTAATTTTGCAGCTTCTGGAAAAAATTTTAGTGGACTGAAAAACACAACAACGTTTTTAACGTGATGATTCACTATATAGGCAGCTGGTAGTCATGTCTTTGTAGCGCACAATGTCCTAGAA